CCGGTAAACTTCTGCAAATGGTCCCTGCCCTTGAGCCTGCAGGAAGTGGATGAGCAGCCCCAGCATCTGCTGCCGGTCAGATACACCAGGGCGGAGGTAGCCGAGCTGGGCCAATTGCTGACCCCACCTAGGTTAAGAACTGGCCCACCAGTGTTGCATAGTGTGTCCTTGATCTGGGTAAACTCTACACTTGGTCATGACAGATCCGGAAGCGCCCAGCAGGAAGGAGCCCAAATGCAGGGACTGGCAGCCTTTTCTGGTGGTGAACATGAAGGGCAATGACATCAACAGTGGTACCGTCCTCTCCCATTAGGGCAGCTCTGGGCCTCCCATGGGGATAGGCCTTCACTGCTACAACTGGCTGGTTTAAGAGCAGAATGGGTCACTGAAGTGTGACAAGCCCATTCCCAGCAACCGATCTGGAGACCACTGTGGCAAAATCAAAGTGGCATCCTTCCGCAAAAAGCATGAGCTCGGGCCGCCAGTGGCCGGCATGTGTTACCAGGCTGAATGGGATGACTCTGTGCTCAAACTCTATGAGCAGCTGTCTGGGAAGTAGGGGAATGCTAGGAGACAGAAACCATCCCGGAGGTCTCCAGCTGTGGTCTCTAGTTCAGTGATGCATGTAGATTTCTCGGCTTCCCGGTTCTCGTTCTCACAGGCGAGGCCTGAGCAATCAGGTAGTGGTTTAGGGTGACTTTTCCTTCTGCCTATCCTTTATAATTCTAGAGGGTCACACCCCGGTTTATGTTCTGATCAAATTTGAACTCCATTTTGGGGGATATTTTGGTGCTAGGATGAGGTCATCAAATTGTGAAAAGAATAGCAACCCAGAATTTAAAGAAGAAAAAATGCAGGTAAAAAATCAGGTCTATGGTAATAGAGCAGAGCATCAACGAATCTTTAAGAGAGGTTTAAAAAAGAGAGAGATTCATTGCCTCTGCTTTTGTGAGCCTGAGTCCAGAATTGTGCAAGATGGCATTTCGGGGGCATGTTTTCACAGCCATGTCTCTCACCAAGACAGCCAGAAGCTGGCCTGTCCCCTAGACCCCAGTGTAGTACATCTTGGACTTGTTACTGGGGCCAGTGTCCCACTCTGGCTCCTTTAGAGAGCAGTACTGGAAAAAGCAATAGGGAGAATTGCTTTGTGGTTAAGGCCAGGCTATCTCCCTGAGGTGCAGGACTGGGTGAGAGGCTCTCAGAAATCCCATCTGCACCTGTTAAACTGGTTACTCTTCGTCTGTGTAAGAAAACGGATCTGGAGTTATGGAATGTTATGTTACTTCTGCTGTTTGCTTATAGCTGAATAAAAATAAAAAAAACATTGTGTGGGTGAAAAAAAGGAAGGACGGAAGGAAGGAAGGAAGGAAGGAAGGAAGGAAGGAAGGAAGGAAGGAAGGAAGGAAGGAAGGAAGGAAGGAAATGTGAAAAAATTGGTAGGGATATAGTAATCTATTGCATGTGAGGTCAGGACCCTGAGAGAGAGGGAAGATCTGCCAGATGGCTCTATGATTTCAGTTTTGAATAAGAAGACTATTTTTTTTATACAAATCAGAAAACTTACGAAAGTGAGAGTTCTAAAATAATCAAACTTTTATAATGTTGACATTTATATCTTAATGAATTTGCTGCTTTTATTTTAGTGAATACATACTTTTATTTAAAACTCTTTTTTTTAAGATTTTATTTATTTATTTGACAGAGAGAAAGCACAAGTAGGCAGAGTGGCAGGCAGAGGGAGAGGGAGAAGCAGGCTCCCCGCTGAGCAGGGAGTCGGACGCGGGGCTTGATCCCAGGACCCCAGGATCATGACCTGAGCCGAAGGCAGCCGCTTAACGACTGAGCCACCCAGGCGCCCCTATTTAAAACTTTTTTAAAACAAAATTATTTGTACAAGTAAAAATGTGTACTTGTGTATATCAAAGCAAAACAAAACATTGAAAAATTACCTAAGTAGAATTACTGTCTTTGGTTTACATTTATATGCTTTAATCAGTTTCTAAGCAGTATCTGTCTCTCAAAGTATGTCACTATAGAACATATTTTTTCATGTGTCCGATGATTTTTTAAATAAAATTGCTTGCAGTGTTTTTCAAAGTTGTATTTTATGGTTAATAAATTTGAAGTAGTTGACTGCCTCTATTGTTACAGCTCTGTAGGCCAGAAATATTTTTAATTGAGAAAAGTCTTCTGTATTTTTCCTAAAGTACATGTAAACTCAGAGTTAATTCTGCTAAATAAAAGATCTTCATTCTATGTTTTTATTGAAATACATAAAAAATTTAGTTCAAGTGTTTTTACCAGCACTGTTTTCTTCCTTTATTCAAAGTAATGTTTTCAATATAATAAAATTCATCAAATAAGATGTCTCTATGATTCTTTTCACTATCTCATCAAACTTAGATGCTGCAATAAACAAAGGCTGTCTCAATTTCATTCTATCCTATAACAGAATATTAATTTATTCAGTTAAAAAAAGAACCTTTAAAAGTTTTTCTCAGAACACAAGTTATTGTGTAGCTCAAGTGTAGACTTTCAGAAATAAATTATGTATCCTGTTTGAACTCTTATCATCTGATTTTCTAGATTATTTTGTTTCCGTAGGAAAAAAATTTTATTCCTTCTATTTCCAAGTTTTGTTTCAATTTTCTGAAAGTGTTAAACTTGACATTTTTAAAAAAGATTTCCAACAAAAGAGTGAAAGTTAACTAAAATTTAGAAAACTCTTTTACAACATAGTTCAATACCATTGTAGAACACTGACATTGATTTATAAGGTTGCTTTAAAGGCTAAAACATTTAAATAAATTTATTGATGGTGGGGAAAAAAGACAAAGTGTCAAAGCCTCTGTGTAAATGGCTTTGTGTATGTACAGAAGCTATAGTTTATGGCTTGGCATATTAGACTGGCAATATACTGAAATTGTTTGGAGATAATTACTAAGTTTGTGTGTATAAAACACATTCCAAATATATTCACTCTCTGTGCATTTTTAATTCAAAAAGAATATTACCTTTACTATGACTTCATGATCTACAAATATTTACATTTTTATCTTTGTAGAAGCTTATCATTTTAGTCTTCAAGGTTGAAGTTTAACTATTTTAGAATTATAATCACAGTAATCTCAGATGTTTCACCATAGAATAATTAACTTCCAAAAGCTTTAGAGACCATTGATTAGATGAAAATATAACTATTATTGGAATTAAACTGACTTTATATTTGAAATAACTTGAGACAATTTAAACCATGTATCATTTAACCCTTTGCAAAGTTTTTGGAAAATAGAGCCAACCCATGAACAGTTGTTGCTATACTTTTTGTATATGCATAAGAAAACTGGAGATTGGAAAAGTGAAATTAATTTAGAATAGTCATTTAATCTAAATGAAAAGCCATATTTCACAGAGTGATATATATATATATACCCATTTTCTATATTAATTAAATTGAGATCTACTGGCATGATTTTCTTTTTAAAAATTTTAACTAAATGCTATTGTTCCCTCCTGAAGATTTGGTTTTCCTGTGGCATGTGACATCATAGCTCCACATACAGTAGATGATCAAAGTTACAGATATTCTGTGCAACTCATAGCAACCTTTAGTAATAGATTTTATACTAAACACCTATTTCTTAGATTTTAATTTTTTTGGTTTTTGCTGCTAAAAGAGTTTATTGTAAGATGAAAATTCCAGCAATCAGTGAAAAATTAGTTATAAATATTTAGCATAAAACATCTTCCCCTAGATATGGTTCACTGGTTCATTAACTCATCTAGGGAAGGAAGAGATAGTTTTAAGTTACGATCATGAGTTCAACTTGGGCCTGGTTAGCTGTTGATGACTATGGTACATACAGCTGGCAATGACAAGGAAATATTTGTGAATAGTGCTTTGGAGTACAAGAGCGTGTTGTAAGATAGAAATACAAATTTGGAAGTTCTCAGCATATGGGTAGTAGTTGAAACCGTGTGAGATGAAAGATTAGGTAAGACATTTTCAGCACTGATACTTGTTGAGCAGTTTCTGGGAGGTCTTTGGACATTGACAACAAAGGAGAGAATGTAATGTTATTACTTTATGCTAAATGACTTGGGTATTGGTTTCTTGTAGCTGCTGTAACAAATTACCACCAACTTGGTGGTTTAAAACAACAGAAGTGTATTCTCTCACAGTTCTGGATGCCAGAAGTCCACAATAAGTATCACTGGGCCTGTAGCAAGGCGTGTGCATGGACACATTCCCTCTGAAGACTCTGGAGGAGAATTTGTTTTTTGCCTTTTTCAGCTTCTAGGGGCTGCCAACATTCCTTGTCATATGGCCACATTACTCCCATCACTGCTTCATATTGTCTCCCTTTCTTCCTCTGTAGTGAAATCTCCCTCTGCTTCCCTCATAGGCTTACATGGGATTACATTTAAAGCCCGTTCAGATAATCCAGGATAATCTCTCCATCTCAAGTTCTTTAATTTAATCACATCTATGAAGTCCTTTTTGTCAAGTGAGGTAACCACACTGTTCATAGGTTCCGGGGATTAGGATGTGGATATCTTTGGGAGTAGGAGGCTAATATAAGTAGGAGGCTAATCTTTCATCCTCTATCATCACTCCTGACTTTGGAAGACTTGGTACAGAAAAAGTAGTGTAACGTCTCATAATTTTTTATTGATTGAGATGATATTTTGGATATAGTGTATTAAATAAAATACGTTATTAAAAGAATTTTATTTAAAACATTTTTTCAATATAGCTACTAGAAAATTTAAAATTGCATATAAGTTAACACTGCATTTCTATTAGCACTGGTATAGAATGTGTATGAGTTTCAATCTCTTCATCTTACAGAGAAACTGCTATTTCCTTACAAAGAGTTAAAATTCTTGAAAGCACACTAAGTTAATTAAACGTTCAATTGTACTCTATGGATGTACTTTGCTCTATTGTAATCCATATTCAGTCAAACTCTTTATTGCTGCTTTTCTACATTTCACAGCAACAAACCAAAAGGACTTCATGTGAAATTATTGACTACGCTGTGCCTCTCAGCCTCAATTAACCCCTAATTCTATGCACCTGGGAGCCAAAGCAAACCATAAGGAGCCAAAGCACTACCCTGATGAAGCATCTCTGGAAGGAGGTCTCACATGGTGAGTGCTAGACTGACTGGCAGTCTCTTAGAACTGAGAGGAAATAAGGTAATTTTTAGGAGTTTGACATTTTCTTTCAAAAGAGATTGTATTTAAAGGGTGAAGGGTGGTGAGGAAATAAGGGTAAGGGGAAAATGTTTTTGTTGGGGAGGGATCCAAGGAGGACTTGTAGGAAGAGTCCTTCCAGGAAAGGAGGTTTGTGATTTGAGAGGACACTATATGTGGGCCTGGGGGAAGAGGTGAAAAAGAGTGATGGGGGGGCACCTGGGTGGCTCAGTCAGTTAAGTGTTTGCCTTCAGTGGCTCGGGTTGTGGTGCTGGGGATCCTGGGATCGAGCCCCACCTCAGGCTCTCTGCTCATTGGGGAGCCTGCTTCTTCTTCTCCCTCTGCCTGCCTCTCTGCCTATTTGTGCTCTCTCTCTCTCAAGTAAATAAATAAAATCTAAAAAAAAAAAAAAAAAAACTTAAAAAAATCTTAAAAATCTTAAAAAAAAAAAGAGTGATCGGAGGAGAAAATCTAGGAGATTCTAAGCAGTGAAGGTCTGGTGAGAGGGAGAAGAAAGGACACTACTATTTACCAAGCTTCTACTCTTTATCAGGTATTTTCATATATGTTATCAAAATTACACTTATAATATTCATTTTTGCAGGCCAAAAATTTGAGGTGTAGAGGCATGAAATGATTTGCCTAAGGTCACATAACAAATAAGTATCAAGGGGAAATTTAGGATCCATTAATTAGTGGGTTGATATTCTTTAGAGTGTTAAAGCTAGACTAAAAGGTGAATCTGTGAGGGTGGAAAACATGGCAAGTGACTTGAGAAAAGGCCTTTTAACTAGTTAAGTTTTTGAACTTGAGCACCTCCCCAGCCTTGCACTATATTTGTAATAAGCATAGACCTTTGGATTTATATAAGTACCTATAAGAAATATAAGCATATTTAAACGTTAGCCTCCCACAGACCTAAAAGAAACATAGTCAAAAAAACAGTTCAAGTTTTAGTTAGTTCATCTGTAAAAATGAAGGCATTAAAAGAACTACTCCAGGGGCGCCTGGGTGGCTCAGTCGTTAAGCGTCTGCCTTCGGCTCAGGTCATGATCCCGGGGTCCTGGGATCGAGCCCCGCATCAGACTCTCTGCTCAGCGGGGAGCCTGCTTCTCCCTCTGCCTCTGCCCCTGCCCCTGCTTGTTCTCTCTCTCTCACAAATAAATAAAATCTTAAAAAAAAAAAAAAGAACTACTCCAGCTCATAATGATGTGATTTAAAGGTACCATGATATCACCTCAGCCCGCAGAATCCCCAATAGTGTATTTCCCAACTTATACTAGTCTCCTTAGAAATCATTGCATTTTCATTTCACCCAGAACTATTATGGGCTCAACACCTTTTCTTCAAATATTAGCACTCCCCTCATTTCAGTGGACTCTTCCATCCAGGGCCTCTGAGATACGTTATTTTATTGATAACCTTCCCTGACATACTACTAAGCTCTAATCACCTAAGCATCCAGTCTATAAGTAGATATGACAGAGCAGCTGCTGTAGATGAGTGGAAGAAGATCCTACACACTAACGAACTTGGCTCACCATAAATTTACAAACAAAAACCAAAAAGCACTTTCCTTCTTGCTCCTCTTTGGCAGCCTCCTTTTATTAATTGCAGCACTTGTCTTAGGCTCCCTCATTTTACCTCATTTCGATGGATCACTGCCTTGACGTATAGAGCTTTTCACCCTTCCATGAGATCTGAGGAAAAGAAAGCACTTTAAGTCCTGCATCAGGCTCCCTGCTCAGCAAGGAGTCTGCTTCTCCCTCTGACCCTAACCCCTCTCATGTGCTCTCTCTCATTCTCTGTCTTAAATAAATAAATAAATAATCTTTAAAAAAAAAAAAGAAAGAAAGCACTTTAAGAAAATATCTTTAACTAAGCTCTATTTCAAATCCTTTTTTATTTTCTTAAAAAGGTATTTGTCATCATTTACTTTTCTCCTATTATCTTTAATTTTTCCTTTTCTATTGATTCTTTTTTATGTTCTAATCAATGACTAACACCTTCTTTTTAAGTTTTGGCAAATCAATAAGAGAAATAACATATCATTGTTCTTTAACTTTTCTTGAATTATGTGATTAAAATTTTAAATGTTTAGCAGCCATTTCATTCCCTACCCAGTGAATTGTTTTTTGAATATCCATGCAACTTTTTCTACTGATAAATTAGTATAAACTTTGCAATGTTTTTTAAGCTTTTTAATGAGTTAATATTAAGCATTTGTCATATTCATGACAAATTTTTTTTCAGCTTGTTGCATCTGACTAATGAGTAAGAAATGGTAGAAATCAAAAATTTAATCTATCACAGTGGTCATGCTCTTTCTGATATCTTCAAATTATACTTAGAATATCTTTTGCATTATATATTTCACATTAATACATACTTATATATTTGTGTAATATATCTGGGTTTTTTTGTTTTTTAAAGATTTTATTTACTTATTAGAGAGAGAGACATGGAGAGAGAGCACAAGCAGGAGGAGCAGCAGGCAGAGGGAGAAGAAGGCTTCCTGAGCAAGGAGCCTGACGCAGGACTCGATCCCAGGATCCTGGGATCATGACCTGAGCCGAAGGCAGCCACTCAACCGACTGAGCCACCCAGGTGTCCCTCTGTTTTTATTTTATTACTTTAAAGGTTTGAATTCATGTGGAATTATTTTACTCTTTCTCATAATATCACCAATGTATTGCAAGTCATCAAAATAGCAAATCATCTTTGACTTATCCAGCTTAATTCCTATTTAGTGTCATTAACTTAGAAGGTACAATTTTCCAAAATTAAATAAAGCTTACAGACTTGCTGATTCATTCTATTAGACAATAAGCATACTAAGGATAAGAATCCTGTCATATTTGTAACCTTAGCATATAATATAATAATTTGCTTTACAAAATTGGGTTATCACACTATGTCAATGTCATGATAATTATTTTACTAATACAATGCTTTGCAGGGTCTTCTTAAATTTATGCTTTTAACCAAGCCAACTTATATATTACTCAGTTGTCCTCATTCCTTACTTCTATATTCTTTCTTCTTTCATTGTGGCTTTAGATGATGTTGGCATAGTCTCTTCCCTATTTCTCATTCTAGAATTCAACTGCTTGATTTCAAATAGTATATACTAACCAAGTGTCTGTTCTTCTTTCTGACCACTTTAGATGACCACCCATTTTCAGTCCCTTAGGACTCCCTGTATTCATGAACTTTTCAATGGAACTGGCCTTATCCATTCACAAATTTGGCAGTCTTCACTCCCCAAAAAGGCTCTACACTTTGGACTTTCTAATATCACCTGCAGTAAGAAGAACACAATGACATAATTGCTTATTGACCATATATCTTACGAGAATATTTTAATACTGACAGCTGACAGCTCTAGCAAAGACTAGAAGGGTTCAGAGATTTCTAATAGGAAATTATTAAGCAGATTGCTTGATACATAGACTGTATGGAGAAAAAGTAAAAGAAAAAAAAACAGAAAGAAAGAAAGAAAAAGAAAAAAGAAAAGAGTAGCAATAAAAGAAAAGCAGACACAAGTCCTTAATGTTGGAAAACAGCTTCCTATGCAGTCAGATCATTGAACTTCTGTGAGGAAGTAGACTGAATTCACAGTTTAAAACTTCCTGAGGCACAGTGTGCCTGGGTGACTCAGTTGGTTGACTGTCTGCCTTTGGCTCAGGTCATGATCCCAGGGTCCTGTGATTGAGCCCTGCACCAGGCTCTCTGCTCAGCTAGAAGCCTGCTTCTCCCTGTCCCTCTGCCTGGTTATGCGCTCTCTCTCTCTCTCTCTGTCAATAAATAAATAAAATGTTTAAAAAAATAAAAAAGTAAAACTTCTTGAGGCAGTTTAGAGAATGTAGAGGAGGGACAGACAGAGGGAACTAAATAAGAAGATAGTGTGAAGATCTTGATAGAATAAAATTAAGTCCTTAGTATTGCCTTCTATATATATATATATATTTAGGAAATAGACTTGAAGAAGGAAAAACAGGTATAGATGTTGTTTTAAGACTAGTGAGAAGAAAAATAGTAAGTCAGAGACTAAAACCATATAGGTAAGCCGTAAAGCAAGATTTGTAGAAAGAATTAGAAGTATGAGACCTCACAGTTTTGCTTAAGGCCAACCTCTATTCATTTTCATTCATGCACCAGGCAAATAAGAGTAATGTAGAAATATTTCCTGTCTTTTATAACTCCATATTTGCACATTTTTGTAGGAGCTATATCATAATTTTTAGGAAATATAACATATTTTTTATGTTCAATAAGAAAAATTACAGATTTACAATGTTTCTTTTGTTCTTTAAAAATAATAGCAGCCAACACATATTGAGCACTCACGATAAATCAGACACTATGCTAAGTTCCTAAATCATGTTTCATTTTATTTTCACAGAAACCCTATGAGATAATACAAGTGTAATACACATTTTACAGATTAGGACACCGAGGCTTAACTGGTGAGGGTCATACAAATGTAAGTTGCAGAGCTGGGAACTGAACCTAGGAATCTAATCATAGAGCTACTATAGAATAAAACCCTAACTAATATTAAGTCATACAAAATCCAATTTCCAATATTAGTAATATAAAATTACTAATATGTTAAGAATATTTGTATATGTGATCACTTCAGCTTTACAAACTTAATCTTTTATCCATGGATATAATAGTTGTATTTACAAAATATATCTTTGTTTGCATTTGTAAGTGATATACTAATAACAATTTGCATTTTTATTGATGACTCAGGGCTCTGACAATAATTTAAAATAATGGAAGAGATGTAGTTCATTGGATTAAATCTAAGTATGAAAGGTCATATCTTCTGTCTAGATCTCATGAATAAATCCATAACCCCATGACCTTTCAACAGCATTCTTTATTTTAAGTGCAGGAACTAATAAAAAATGTGAAATGGGTATCTCTGTGAAGTACA